AAACCTTGATTTTAGTCCAGTGAGACCCATTTTGGTCTTCTTACCTATAGGACTAAAAAGTAACAATTTTGTTGTTGTTGTTGTTTTAAGTGGTACTTTGTTATAGCAACCATAGAAAACTTGACCCATACAAAATTTATGAAGGCACTCACCTGCTGGAGGAGCTGATCTATCAGTTATAGTATTCACCATGATGGCTAATTTTATATGTCAACTATACAGGGTCACAGGATGCCCAGATAATTTGTCAAGCACCATTTGAGCTGCTTATCTGAGGGTATTTCTTGATGAGATTAACATTTAAGTCAGTAAAGTGGATTGCCCTCTCTAACGTGGTAGGATCTCATCCTATCAGTTGAAGACTTGAATGTAACAAGAAGGCAGGACTTCCTTCTAAGTAAGAGAGAATTCTTCCTCCTTGAACATGTCTGAACAAAGACATCAGCTTTTCCCTGCCTTTGGACCACATCAGTTCTAGCTCTCCAGCTTGGCTCATCTAACTGATCTTGATTTGTCAGCCTCCACAATTCTGTGAGCCAACTCCTATACTAAATCTGTTTATGTGTATATTATATCGCCACACACCCTCTTGGTTATGTTTCTCTGGAAAACTTTAATTTTACCCACAGTAGGAGGTCTGAGAGGCACTGTTCCATGGCCTCTGCAGTCCACCTTTTGCACTATGCATATTCAGGAGAATCTTTAAGGAGCCTGTGGAAGATTTAAAAGGGGAAAGTTAGTGAGATGAGCATCAGTCCCCACCATCGGAGTTGCTCTCAGGGCGTCAGCTGGTCGTCAACCTCAACTTCCTCCTCTACTCATTCTAAATCCTCTCACCTTCAGTCTCACCTTGGCAGGTCTTGGTGGCTTAACTAATGGAGTAGCCCAAACCTTCCTTCTTGAATGAATCGAGCCAATAAACATGAAAAGGACTAGGTTTCAAATTGCATATTAATTTGGCTATTATTGGGTTCTGGTTTTAAATTTTTAGTCTTCAGACAGTCATTTAAAAAATAACTTTTAATGCAATGTAAATAAGGTTGTATAGATGAAGAAAATCAACCGAGGTCCCAGTTTATCACAGCTCAAACTACATGATCTTTTTGAAACACAGTATCTCGCTTTTGCTAATCAGGAAATGCCAGTAGTTAAGACCTCTGCGTCCGTACATGTTGCTCTCCCTACAGGAGCCACAGTCATACAAATGGCCAGAATTGCCTTCTGCCTCCATTGACTCAAATTCACTGCGTAATATAAACAAATCTGTTTGAGAAAGGATTTTTCTTGGCAAGACAAATTAGAATCTTTGCCAAACCACACAAAGAAAATAAACGAGTATAAATTCGACTCAATAAATCTTTATTGAGCTCCCATGGGGTACACAAATTAAGGATCTATAATTTACATAGGTAGAAAAGTATTACATTAGCCCCATTTTTTAAAAAAGCAATTTATAACTGTATATATTTCAAGTCAATTGTTTAATGTGAGGCTCAGTTTGATGTTACTCTATTCATGGAAAAAAAAAAAAGTAGAAATATTTTCCCTCTACCAGAAAAGGTTTAGGGCCAGGATAAACTAGCCTGCTGATCAAAAGGCTAGAGAATCTGGAAGACAAAGATATACTAGGAAGCCCTGGCCTCTGAGGAGTCATTCCCAAGAGGACTGCAAAATGCCAGAAACACTAACTGGCTCAAAAATCATACTGCGATCAAGAGATAAGTTAGTTACAGCTTAGGGGAAAACATTCAAGAACAGATGTCACTAACTTAGCTAGATCAATAATTCTGACGTCTTCCTGGAGTTGTGACAGCATTCTGAGCTAACTGGAAGGTTGACAACTCATGCCCCTTTGAACAGAGTGGTTTTAAATGATAGCGTCTCCAGTGAACCAACTGTATTTTCAAGTATAATCCTGATATTGGTACCTAGCAATACAGAAGAAAAAGCAGCAAAGAGAAAAGTGTCAAGTATATAGGACATGAAATGATTTGGCAGCCCTAGAATTCCCAGTGTGAGTGTTCTTCATCAGGAAAATCACACTCTGGCTCAGTCCAAGGCAACACTGGAGGCAGTGCTGTTGATGGCTTGTTGTAAGCAGGAGGCAACAGTGAAAGTATTGAATCCTGGCTTTCTTCTTTCATCTGTAAGAGAAACTCAAGGCTGTTGGTACATAAATTCAATACATCAATTTTGTTAGCAACGAGTAACTTTAAAAAAAAAAAAAGATTTATTTATTTATTTCATTCCATTTGTTATTCTTTTTTTAGTTTGGCCAGAGAGAGAAAGGAAAAGGAGAAAGCAAGCCACTAGGTCTGGACTTGAACCGTGGTTGGCCATGCAGGAATCCAGCACCTTTAACCACCATGCCACCTGCCGGCCCCAGCAATAGGTAACTTTTAAAGAAATGTTAATGGGGCCAGTAGTTGGCATGGTAGGTGAGGTGCTAGACTCCCACATGTCTAACCATGGTTTAAGTCCTACACCTGGTGGTTCCCTTTCTTTCTCTTTCTCATTGTCTCTGTCTGGTGAGTGCATGTGCCCTACAGCAAATTTAAAAATAGTAATAGTAATAAATAAAATTAAATAATTTTTAAGAAGAAATGTTAACAGTGTTTAAAACCTTATAGGTATTTTCCCTAAAAATGTCTTTTAGTCTGGTTATCTGACAATGGAAGCCAAATAAGTTGGTTTTTTTTTTCATCATAATTATTTTGCCTTTTCTTTTTTTTAGGGTTTGCTATAGGGTATACATGTTCCCCGGAGAAAGACTAAGAGAGACAGAGAAAGGGAAAGTGAGAAATCGCCCCCCAGGTTGGATGGCCACACCACAATCACTTTTCTTCCATTCTCCTCCTGGGATTTTGGACGCGCAAACACATGCGCCCAGCATGATCCTCAAGGACTTGAACTATGGCAAGCCATGTGGCCAGTCCAACATCACTTTTCTTCCATTCTCCTCCTGGGATTTTGGACGCGCAAACACATGCGCCCAGCATGATCCTCAAGTTGCTGGGTCTTGGACTTGAACTATGGCAAGCCATGTGGCAGTCCAACACCTTGACTACCATGCCACCTGCTGGCCCCTATTTGACTTTTCATCATTTCGAGTCACAACAGAAAATGTCTCCAAATTAATCAAAGCATACAATGAGCACATAGTGACATATATAATAATAATCCCATTTGTTTTTACTCACTTTGTTTTATAGAATGGAAATATTTTGGAAAGCCTATACCTGAACTACCAAAAATGTTTTCTTGTTTTCAACTTTATTTTGTAAGAAGGTTATTAGTAAGAATCCTGGTAGCCATGGTATCCTATTAAACCAACAAAACGAAGTGTCACTTTTACACAATATTTAGAAACATGTAGATAATAGATATTATATCAGCTCACCTGTTTGAAGAATACATGGGATAATAAACTACTTGCCGAAGGCCTAAAAGTTAAAAAAAAAGTTATATGAAAATGGAACTTCATATTACAATGTAGATTTTAGGTGTATAAGTACACTAGAAATTAGATTTAGAGGCATCAAACTAACAGTAAGACACTAACAAGCAAAAAAGTACATGTTAGAAGCTTAATTCTTAGCTCTTAAGCATGATTAATGGGAAGAATTAACTTGTTCTTCAATTAATCCATATTCAATATTAATTGGTCGTAATATTTCTAAAGAACTATGCTAGGCACTAAGGGGCTAAAAAATAAGACATACACCTTATTTCAAAATGTTAATACTAATATATAGCTATCTGTAATGATATATTAATAGTAGCTTCATGTTTTGTTTGCTATACGTTGTATGTCCTCACTGGAGAGAGAGAAGGAAGAAGAGGAAATGTGAGAAATCACCCCTCCACCCACCCGCCGAGAGGGCATGGTCACACCACAAACCCTTCTTCATCCTCCTCTCGAGATTTTGGGCTTACATGCACACATGCCAAGCTTGATTTTCTTTATCAAGCATGATTTTCAAACTTCCAGGTCCAGGACCCAAATTGAGTAGTTGGCCATATGGGATCCAGTCATTTTAACCACCATGCCACCCGGCTGGCCCATAACTTAACATTTTTATACTGCTCAGGAATTTCTAAAATGTCTTCATGTAAGTACAGTAATTAATGTCCAGAAAAATTACTGGTTTTTGCAAGGTAACTTGCCTAGGAAATGGTTGGCTGACTGGAATCCAATTCTTTTGACTTTGAATCAATTTTCTTCCCATTTGCTTATTACTCCTACTTGTTCTAAGTAACAGAATTTTCTAGAATAGATTATAATGTTTTGATCAAAAGATTTGAAAGATCTGAATTGGCCCAGCAACAGTGGTACAAACAGTAGGGCAACATTGCACAATGCTGGAGCATACAGGAAGGCTCCAAGTTCATATTCCAGGTCAATGAACACTGGGCATGCCTACCGGCACATCTATGACCCTGACTGGCTGGAAGGTGGGGTGTGGGGCATGGGGCGGTGTATCGTAGTATGACAAGATTTTTCTTTACTTTTTTTTTTTTTGGAGGTTTTTGCTATAGGGTGCGTGTGCTCGCCAGATAGACAGAGAGAGACAGAGAGACAGAAAGTGAGAAATCATCCCTCAGGGGGGATGGCCACGCTGCAATATTTTCTCTTCCATTCTCCTCTTGGGATCTTGGGCACGCATGCACACGTGCCCGGCGTGAGTTTAAGCCACTGGGTCTGGGACTTGAACCGCAGTCAACTACATGGGAGTCCAGCGACATAGCCATTACGCCAACTGCTGGTCCCATATGACAAGATTTTGTCAAGGGTACTTCTCTCTCTTTCATGAAATAAATATATTTTAAAAAAGTATTTATATTATGTTCATTTTATATTTGCTGGCAATAGAAGGTTTCTTTTTTGTATTAGCTCTTTTTTAAAAGACTTATTTATTTAATTTTATTGATTATTATTATTATTATTATTTTTAATTTGACCAGAGAGAAACAGAGAGAGAGAGAGAGGAGGAAAGTGAGAAAGCATGCCACCAAATTTGGCACTTGAACCACAGTTGGTCACGTGGGAGTGTCCAGTGCCTTCACCACCATGCTACCTGCTGGTCCCTGTATTAACTCTTAATTTCACGAATTTTAAAAATTAGTATTTCATTACAAATGTCTTAATGTTGATTAATTGATTTTTGCTGGGACCATTATTGATTAAGCAAATACAACAGCTATTTGAGAGTTACTGAAATGAAAAGGAAAATGATTTAATTTTATGGGCAATATCACAAAACCTTTTATGAAATATACACGTTTGCTTTGTACTATTTGGAAGTGACCAATATTACCTTTTCTCAGGATCTTGCTGCAAACAGAGCTGCACCAAGCTAATGAAGGCAGGAGAGAAGGTTTTTGAGGGCGTGTGCAATCGGTCGCTGTTAACAGTGTGAGTTGCACTGGAGACAAGTACACTTTCTCCAATCCCAGAGTCTATACCCGATCGGGAGTTTTTCATTCTGGACTCTGACTGAGGGAAAATGCTGACATCCAATGGAATATAATGAGGACCTTTCAGTTTTTGTAACAGCATCTGAAAGAAAAAAAAAATTTCCTTCAATTCTTTTCAGGAAAAAGTAACAATAAAGTTAAGCGCTTTACAGAAAACATATGTAACAGAAATGATCTAGAGTGTTCAGAGATCTTGCAGCACTCACCTGTGTTCTGTGCATGTCCTGGAAAGGCACCTGCCCACTGGCTAACTCGCAGGCTGTAATCCCAACACTGTAAATATCTGACTGCACATTATATCCATGTAAATCCTGTGGGACACAAGTAATTTGAAGTCCTTCAGTGCAAATGACTTAACAAAACCTTACCTACATGTGCTTTATTGATAAAGGATGGTGAGCAATAATGGTGATTAAAAAAAAAAACCCTCTTACATGAGAAGTCAAGATATCCCTAATATATGGTACACAATTTAAATTCCTAACAACGTTGATGAGAAAGAGAATCAAGTCTTGCAATAGGCCATCCACCAATCCAAATATAAGGATACAACCGTCCTTTAGTCAAAATCAGAAGACACTCGAGACACAGACAACCCAATGCAACGGCCACATCTGACCTGTCTCAGGAGTTCTGGACTCAGCCACGGCTGCACTGATGTGCTGAACTGTGGGAAATCATACACAGCCCTATGTCTCTGTCCGTGCTTAACCAAACTATGCAGGTGGGACAGGCCAGAGAGGGTCACTAGGCCTTCACCAGAAATGAGGATATGGCTGGCTTTAATACTCCTAGAACAAAAAGAAACAATCCTAAGTACTAGGAAACTGGCCAATGAAGAAAGAATAAAAATATGGTCAGGAAAAATCCATGTATGTGCTTGGAAATTAAGTACTCTATAAAATAGCAGTATCTGATGTGTGTATATATATATATATATATATACACACACACACATATATATACATATATATATGTATATATATATATACACACATACATATATATATACATATATACACAATATATATATATATATAAATGCTCATGGAATTAAGGAATCCACTCAGTAAATTAATGTGGCACCAGACCAAGAGAACATAAAATTAAAAGCTACATGATAAGAATCGATAATAGTTTTTTTTTCAAACAAGGAATGGAATAAAATAATTTCATTATTTTAGAATGCTGTTGCAAAATATCTAGAAAGTCTAAAAAATCAAATATTTGAAGCATAAGGTTATAATTTAAAGTTAAATGCAATCTTACATAATAAAATATAGTTTCTCATGGTATATTATTTACAAAAATGTTTTATATTACATAAAAGTTTCCCTTGTCAGATAAATTACAAAAGAGCGCTGTTTTCATCCAAAACACTGAATTTGAAAACTAACAAAAATAGAACAGTCAATAGTCCGGTAACTTATAATAAAACTTCAGTTCATTAGAATGTTTTAGGGGTCCTCAGTTAACCAGAATGCTGCTAAAAACACAACAAATTATAAAATAGAAAGCTTTAAGGAGATAGAAAGCAAGCCTATCCTTAGTTAAAACACAAACTCCCAGAATGTCTTAGAATAGCACTGTTCTTACTTCCGCGTCGCTTTGGTACTAAAAGCATTTATATTTAGTATGATAATTTCAGGGTGCTGCAAAATATTTAAGAAATCTAAGAAAGATTTAGTTATGATTTATACATTATAAGCTGAAAATCCGATTTTTAAAAAGCTATTTACTTAAAACAAAACGAAACCAACCTCAGCTAGCTGGGATTCCATTCCCCAACTGCACATACCCTGAACTGGTGTGCATTATTGCCTTCATCTGACTGAGACACTGCGCTCTCAAGGGCAGTTTCCAAAACAGCCTCTGAGAGACGCTGGGCTGGGAGGATGTGTTCTGAATACTTCTGGAGAATGAGTATAACACATAAGCAGCCCCTGTATCTATTGGCTGCTTCATCTCTTAATTTTAATTAAAAAAATCTCCTATCCCTAACTGTTATATCCTAAAATCTCCCCAAAAGATTTCTTCTATTAAAACTCCTTTATCTTGTAAAACACAAATAAGCAAGTACCTATGAATATAGCCATTTTGGTGCAGATAGTCCAACCCTCTCACTGCTCCAAAGAGAATGTTTCTTATTAAAGCTTCACTCATTCCTTCAGGAAAGTAGGTCTTCAAGAGTTGACTTGCTGAACCTGAAAGAAACCCCTGAAGCCTGTAGATGAATACTGGAAGGAATTTTGTTTCCAGTGTTTTTTGTTTGTTTGTGCTCACCAGTGAGAAACAGAAAGAGAAAGTTAAAAGAACCCAAATGGGAGACAGTCATGCTGTAATCCCTTCTCCATCTCTCCCTCCTTTCAGGATTTTGGGCATGCACACTCACCCAATGCATTTCTCAAGCTCCCGGTTTGGGACTTGAACTGCATAGTTGACCATGTGGGATCTAGCAACCCCAACCACCATGCCACCAGCTGGTATTCCAGTTAAGTTTTAAATGTTCTTTTCAACCATATACGCATACACATCTGTTACTCTTTGGGGTCTAACGACTATCCCATACAAAGGTGATTTTCCTTTAAAAATCTTTTTTTTTAAAGAGAGATTTTTGCTATAAGGCACATGCCCTCACTGGAGAGACAGGGAGACAGAAAGTGAGAAATCACCCCCTTCCCCCAGGGGGATGATCATGCCAGAATCCCTTCTTCTCCATTATCCCCTTGGGATTTGGGGCACACGTGCATACATACACACACACACACACACACACACACACACACATCAGGCATGACTTTGGAGTTGCAGGGTCCAGAATTCGAACCAGGATCAACTACATGCAAGTCCAGCAACATAACCATTACAGCATCTGCTGGTCCGTCCTTTAAGAATTTTTAAAGATTTCTAGTAACATTCTGGATTAGGAAAGAGATTAGCAATTTCAGTATTACTGAATATACACTTTTAATACAGAAGCAAATCCCAGAAGTTGTCCTAAAGAAAGTCAAAGCCCTGGAATCCATTCATTCATTTATTCAATACACTTACTGAACTTGTAGTAAGTACTGTGTGAGAACTGGGCGATACCAAAGTGAAAATATGCAAAAGATCCTCAAGAAGCCCAACTCCTGTGAGGGAGACAGCACACACTCAGATGTTTATACTGCAGTGAAACAGGGACAGGAGCAGAGTGCCCAGGTGGAGACACTACTTCTGTCAAAACAACAGTTGCCCTCCATGGAGAAAGCGGAAAGAAATCACAGGGGAGGGACTGCTTGGGTAAAGGCCTAGGACTCTTGGAGGAGCAGTGGTGGTTTTACTGATCATCACCCATGCTACTTTTAAGAGTAAAACTCAACATGAGCCAGATATAGAACTACATCATGAAATCTAGAATTGGCCATCGGATTTATAAATCAACAGTAGTAAATTATAAATCTAAGCTCCCACGGACCTTTATAATTATAGCAACCAGGTTAAACAATGAGTTATTTAAAACCTATTTCCTTACCATAGGCCATAAATGGAGAAATAACCCAAAGCCAGCTGCCGACAGTGAAAGCTGTCCAGTAAGTTGTAATATTGCGATGCCGGAAAAAGTGGGATAGAATCACTGCTTTCTAGGATAAGCACACAAGAGATGAGACATTTAAAACCAATTTTTTTTTTCTTATGATGAAGACAACAACAGAAGTGGCAGCTAATACTCAAGGGAACTTATTTGTACAAAGCACTGTTCTTTTTTTAGAGGTTTTTGCCTTAGGGTGCATGTGCTCACTGCAGAGAGAGACAGAGACAGTGAGAGGGAAATTAAGAAATGACCTCCCTGGGAGAATGGCAACGTTCTCATCCCTTTTCCTCCATTCTCCTCCCGGGATCTTGGGCATGCACGCACATATGCCCAACATGATTTTCAAGTCACTTGGTCCAGGACTTGAACAGTGATCCTCCAGCTGAGAGGCCAGTGAGTTAACTGCTATGCCATCTGCTGACCCCAGTACTATTTGGAATTAGTGCTTTCATCTCATTAACCACTATATGAATTATGTGATACTATGCTTTTCCCATTTTACCAAAGACAGCACTTAGTACCAAGTTTGAAAACTTGTCTAAAAGAAAATAATGAATAAAAGTGGAAGTAGGATGTGAACTTGGATAGTCTGATTCCAGGGGCCATACTTTTAATAACTACTCGTTTAATAACTACACGTTTCTACGTTATTGTAGAAACATTTACAAATATTTTAAAAAGGAAAATAAAATTCACTGTAACACCACACCACAGACAGAACCACTGCTAACATCTTGGCAGTTTCTTTCTGCCTTTTCTATCTGTGCAGCAGAGATGAGCATGTACAACCGTTTTAAAAATTGGGACACTATCAAAACAAATCCTTTCCCTCTTTATATAAAAAATGAAAGATAACAATAAAAAACAGTATTATAATGTACCTGAAATGCAGTTTTCTTAAAACTTATAAATTCTGAAGTTCATTTCGCTTAAGCGGATGAGAGAAAACTGCTTGCTTATTTTTTTTCTATTTCCCTATATGATTATTTGTGATTGGACTGCCTAGGGGTGTTATAAATAATTCTCAGATCAGTATTTTGAATGTGATACTCATTTGAAGGAATAATAGTTATCAAAGTTTGAATATATGTTTTTTTTTGTTCTAAGTATTTTTTCCAATTCAGTAACTGCAAATTAATTCAAAATAAGAATTCTACCTTTCCCTAACAGAAAGAAATATTAATTTGGGGGAAAAATAGAATCTCCTCAAGTAGACCTTATATTAAATATATCTTTTTCTTCATATTATTACCTGTAAAGCTTTCAGGCGTTCTTCAGTGCAGTTTTCCAGATTTGTAATTTTTATAGTCACCAATGTTCCTGTAGGAGTATGCCGGGCAAGGTGGACAGAAGTCAAATTGTCAAATCCTCTTCCTACAGCCAGACAAAAATGTCATGTTAGCAACCTAATAAGGAAAAATATGACAGTATGGACCTCATTAAAATGAAAAACTCCTGTTCTTCTTTTGGGGCAGGGAGGTTTTTGCTATAGGGGCACATGCACTCACCAGAAAGACAGAGAGAGACAGAAAGTGAGAAATCACCCCCCAGGGGGATGGCCACGCCTCCATCCCTTCTCCTCCATTCTCTTTGCGGGATCTTGGGCACGCACACACACGCGCCTGGTGTGAGTTTAAGCCACTGGGTCCAGGACTCGAACCATGGTCGACTACATGGGAGTCCAGCGACATAGCCAACTGCTGGTCCCCAAAACTCTTGTTCTTAAAAATACTGTTAAAATAAAAAAGCAAGCCCCTGGTCAAAAGTACTAACAATACTCTGACGAGACTTCCAAGAACTCTTAAAATTCTGCAGTAAGGTAAGAAACAATCCAATTTAAAACCAGGCAGAGGATTAAAAGGATTAACCAGGAGAAAGGATTGTGCCATGGCTGGGGTGATTTCTCACACAGTAAGATACAGAACAGCCAAATAAGCACATAAAAAGATGCTTGAGGTAGACAAAAATGAAACAGTAATATGCCATTATACATCTATAATAATGGCTAAAATTGTGACTTGATAAACAGAGTGTGATGTATTCAATAAAATAATGCAATCCCTACCCCTTACTCCCTAGCAACCACTGATCTAATTTTTGTTGTCATAAAATGGTATTGAAAAGAATATAGTCTTCTGTTTTTAGCTGTTTTCGCATAGCACAATGCTCTTGAGATTCATCAATGCTGTTGTACGTATCAGTAGTTTCTTTCTATTGCTGAGCAGTAGTACACTGTATGGATGTACCACAACTTCTTTATCCATTCACAGGTTGATAGATTTGGGGGTTGTTTTCAGTTTTTGGTGACTATAAATAAAAATGCCAAAAATATTCCTGTATAAGACTTTCAGTAGACATTCTCCTACATTTCTCTTTGGCAAATACCTGAAAGTGAGATTGCTAGGCCACGTGGTATATGTATGCTGACCCCATAAGAAGTTGCCAAACAGGGCGTTAAGGTGCTGGACTCCTGCATGGCCAACCGCAGCTTAAGTCCCAGACCTGGCAGCCTGAAACTCACACCAGGCGCGTGTGCATGTGTGCCTAAAATTCCTGAGAGGAGCATGGAGGAGAAAGGATTGCGCAGTGGCTGGGGTGATTTCTCACTTTCTCTCTCTTTGTCTCTCTCTGTATCTCCAGTCAATATACACATCTAGTAGCAAAAATCTCTTTTAAACAAAGAAAAAGTTGCCAAACTTTTCAGAAGTGGCTGAAACATTTTCCATTTCCACAAACAACTTATGAGAATTGTAGTTCCCTGACATACTTGTCATCATTTAGTATTGTCAGTTTTCTAAATGTAAAACACCTATGCAATGAGACCAGCAGATGGCAGAATGGTTACATCGCTGGACTCCCATGTAGTTGACTGTGGTTCGAGTCCTGAACCCAGTGGCTTGAAACTCATGCCAGGCAGGTGTCCATGCATGCCCAAAATTCCAAGAGGAGAATGGATTGCATCACCCCAGGAGGTGATTTCTCACTTCTCTCTCTCTCTCTCTCTATGGCTAGCTCACACACCGTATAGCAAAAATCTCTCTAAAAGCAAAAAAAAAAAACCTATGCAAGAGTGGCACCTATTAATGGTACATAATAAATGCTAATTATTCCTTCTCTCCACAGCCATCAAATTCTCTTTTATCTGAAATGAATCTCAAATTCATCTCCTCTTCACCAGTGTCAGCATCACTGTCTTCTCTCCTTGGCTATATGCAGTGATTTCCCCATACTCTGCATTCTCATCGAGGCACACACCGGAATTATTGTAGAAGCCACTTTGAAATGCCAATGCCTAGGCCCTGTTCCTCAGAAAGTTTGATTCAGTAGCTCTCTGATGGAATATAGGCACTGCGATTTTCAAAAGACACAGGTGGTCAGCTGTGGTGGCACCACAGTAATGCAATGCTCTGTGAGCTACACCCACATGGGAAGGGCCCAGGATCACGTCTCTGGGCCTCCCTATACATGTCAGGAGTGCACACACAAGCCTGTAATCCTGGCTGGCTAAGGCTGGGGATGGATCACAGTAGAAGACTCTGTTAGTGAGAACACTCTCTCATGGAAGGAAAAAAGGACATAGGTAGTGAAAATATTTCTGGCTGTAAATCACTTATCAACTATCTTCCAGGCTGCTGTGAGAATTGTTCTAAATTTGCATGCTAGCAATAGCAAAGTGCTAGAGCAGTAGCTGAGAGCTTAGACCCTACAGCCAGAAAGGTCTAGTTTCAAATTGCTGTATGACTGTCTCAGAGCCTCATTATGTTCATTTGTAAAATGGGCATGGTAAAGGGTTAAATGAAAATAAGGACCAGCAGTTGGTGTAATGGTTATGTTGCTGGACTCCCATGTAATTGACTGTGGTTTGAGTCCTGGACCAGGTGGCTTAAACTCACACTGGGTGCGTGTGCGTGTGTGCTCAGGATCCCGAGAAGAGAATGGAGGAGAAGGGATTGTGGCATGGCCATCCACCCTAGGGGGTGATTTCTCGCTTTCTATCTCTCTGTCTTTCTGGCAAGCGCATGTGCCCTATAGCACCTCTCAAAAAAAAAAAAAAGGTTAAATGAAAATAAACATAATGCCTGGTAGATGCTATTATCACTAGTATCGCTATTCTTTCCACAATGTCTCTCTAGTATAGACAAGATAAATCTTCAAGCTTCAGGCTTAAATCCTGCATATGCAATGAAGTGGATAGTTGTAGGGGTCACCAGAGAGTCCAAACAATATGAAGGCACCATGTGAAGTCCTTCACAGTGTGTTCCAAACCTGTCTTTCCAGATGAACCTCCTACCCTGCCTACTCTCTCTTCCATCCCACTGGAGTCACAGAGGAACTATTAACTGATGGGATTCTCTAACCATCCTTCCTCCCTCACTTACGAGGCAAACATTTTCCCCCTTTATCAGACTGTCATCATCTAAAGTTCCTTTCTAATTTCTAAATTCCTCCAGGAATTTGCTACCCTGTGCTATTTTAGAAAAGGTCAGACCCTCTCTGCTGGTCTCCTTGACCCTGGCATGTGACCTAAGCCTGGCCAATTGACAGATAGAGTGCGTGACCTGAAGAAGCAGGGCAGTCCGGACTCACTGCAGTGAGTAGCCCACCAGGCAGCTCCCTAACTAGGCTGCTCTTACTCCACAGCCCTGATCCTATCGCTCACCTTGGGGTTTCTGCCAAGTCTGTTTCTCTAGCCAATAATTCTGCGAGTTAGTGATATTGTTAAAAAAAATTCCCTTTTTGCTTAAGTTAGTCAGGATTTTTTGTTGTTGTTGTTTTGTTGTTATTGTTGTTGTTTAAAATCCTAACTAGAACACCTAGAAAACTTTTCCTCATTTTTTAGGATCCAGCCCCTTTTTGCCATCTTTCTTGACACCTAGAACGGATAATCCATGTTCTCTGCTCCCATAAGATTTAGCACACACCTCTGCGTAGCACCCTCTAACACAGCAGTCCCCAACCTTCCTGGCACCAGGGAATGGCCTTGTGAAAGACAATCCCTCGCAGATGGGGGTGTGGGTAGATGTTGGGGATATTGGTCCCGGGATGACTCAAGTACACCATATTCACCATGCATCCCATTTCCACCACGACCACATTGCAATATATTGGGTTGTTGGAAAACTCATGACACATTTTGGGATAGAAAAAATACATCATGACTACTGACAACCCAATACAATGAAAAAAGTCACACAATAGGCTCTGTGCTCCCATGAGAATTTAGTACTCTTGCTGATCCTACAGGAGACAGAGCCTAGGCAGCAAGAAAGCATTGAGGAGTGGCTGCAAACACAAACTAAGCCTCGCTTACTTGCCCACCACCCATCACCATCAGCCGCCCCCACTGCTGAACAGCTTGCACACCGGCGCTGGTCCACCGCCTGGCCCCCAACAAGCCAAAGACTGGAACTGACCCACGGTCAGGGCCTGAGGACCCCTGTTCTAGCACACAATCAAACTGTCTGGTGTGCTCATCTCAGAGACGCTGTGACCTCTTCAAGTGCTCTACATGGCTTTGTATCTAGCGCCTCACACAGGCACTGGTTTGTAGCATTTGACAGATGTTTCTGAATATCACAGCAAATGCTGCACGTATATAAACAATAAACCCTGCTACTCTACACTTAACGAAGAAAGGTTGCTATTATAAAGGGATTTAAGGAAAGCTTTCAAATTAGAAAGTAGTTTGGTTAAAGGAGTGTGACTGAAAAGAGGTACATGATTTGCTTTTAAGTTTTATTCAGTACATATTAAAAACTGAGATGCTTCCCACAATAAAGACAGCAATAATGAGTATTTAGATTATTTGGTGTCTTCCTCCTGTAAAGTGTACTTTAGTGACAAGTAAGAATTTTAGACAGTTCTCTTGAAAATATCTGGGCCATTATTTATTTTATTTTGTTTTTTTTACATTTAATCACTGTGTATTATTACAGCATACCAAATGAATTTTCCCATCATGAATACACTGTATATTGGTCGACACGCATTATAATCAACAGATTTCTTTCCATTTGGGGTCCCTTAAATGTTTTGCTTCTTTCTTCCTCCCCTTGATTCCCTCCCTCTCATCCTCCTCCATTTTCCACCCTCTCCCTGACTGTCTTCAGTATCATCATTGCCCTCCATGCTTTTATACCTTCCAATCATTTTTTCTAAATAGGATTTTGCCTTAGGGTATTTGTGCTCATGTGAGAGAGCGAGAAAGAGACAGTGAAAGGGACAGTGACATGGACATCCTAAGGTGGTATAACCATGCTGCAATCGCTTCTCCTCCTGGGATCTTGGACACTCACACACATGCATAGGAGTGATTTTTAAGCCACCAGGTCTGGCTTGGTGGGAGTCCAGCAATGTAACTGCTATGCCATCTGCTAGCCCCCTGGACCATTATTTTAAGATAAACATAAAAGTAATTAAGTCCATTTAGCTGACATATCTTGTTTTATGCTGTTGGTAAAAGCAGAAAGAGACTTGCCCACAAAATAATTTTTTTGTCATCAATTTCATTTCTAGTACTGAAGGGTCAACTCTGAAATCCAAGACCGTTACCTATTTCCACTTGGAGCTCATACTGAGAAACGTCGGTGGAACATATCACGTCGCTGGCTCTAGTCGATGGAGGCAGCCAGGAAGGGGTTGGTTCATCAACCTACATTTTTTTTAAAAAGATGAAAACAATGTAAGAATAAACTCTGTAGAAATAAAATAGGGATAAACTATAAACCAAAAGGTCCCTTAACCCCTATATCAAATACTGACATTGTATCCTCAAGCACAGGAGCTCCCTAGGAAGGCTCTGAAAGGTGACTTTAGAGACTGTTTAAGCTCTGAAAGGAATTCCTCAACTGCTGATTGATACTAGTTAGGAAGCTATCAGCCTGTAAAGAGGGAGAGGCAGGAAATGCAGGTTTATAGCTGGCCAGGCACATTTGCCCGTGCCATTTCCAGTAATATTTTTAGAAGTGGTTGTTAAGAATGGCATTAGTTCTTCAGGGTATCTAAAGAATGTATCACAGGAAGAGCTGCCGGATCTGTGAGGGACATTCTATGCTGTGCTCTTGCTTTGAGCCATATCCATTTCTCTACAAGGTACATGCTCTGCTGGTGGCGGCATTAACAGTTGAGAATAGGGTTCACACTGTGGCCTATTAAAATTGCTGAAGTTTTTCACAGGATGAAATGTATCAGTTTGGAAGTCAGAAAGAATTAAAAACAAAACAAAACAAAACAAAAAAACAAGGAGAGGAACCAGCAAATGGCATAATGGTTATGTTGCTTGACTTCCACGTAGTCAACCGTGGTTCAAGTCTCGAACCCAGTGGCTTAAAACTCATGCCAGGCACGTGTGCGTGCATGTCAAAAATCCCAAGAGGGGAATGAAGAAGGAACTATAGTGTGGTTATCCCCTCTGGGGGGGTGATATCTCGCTTTCTTTCTGTCTCTCTGGTGAGCAAAAATCTCTCTCTAAAAAAAAAAAAAAAAAAGCAAAACCAAGGAGAGGGGAGAACAAGACACAGACCTCCTGCATGAATGACTGTGTACAAAGATGAGGTCTCATGGAGAGCCCTGGAGTCAGGTCTGCACCTGGCCACAGTGGCAGTGAACTAACATGCATGCGGGGGAAAGAAAAGGCTAAACTTGTATCATGTGACAGTCAGGAGGACATCTCCAAGGACACCACTACCCCACAGGACACTTGGGAGCTTTCATTGGCACCAGCAGGTGGCAGGAATCTCATTTCTGCCTCCAAAGTGGACAGAAGGAAGGAGGTGTGAAAATGACATTACTGTGTGCCAGGAGCCATGCTACCCTTGAGACTCTAGGCCTTGATTCTCTGAATCAAGAGAAAGAGATGGAATTTGAAACAGGGACAGAACGATTATATGTTCCCAAACATATTAAAAAAAAAAGAAAATATAAAAGAGTATAAGGGAAAATATAAGTTCATGACAAAAGATGACTAAAGATGAATATTGTTCAAGAGCAGTAAGAGACTATAAAAAGAAATTCTACCACACAATTAGAAATAATCCCAGTGAAAAGAGAAAAGAAGGGAAAACTAAAATCAGTTCAACTGGTTTAGAATAAACCAGATAAACTCAAATATAAAGAAAACATATGAAAGAGAGAAAAATACTTTTAAAACACATTTTAAAATTTTTAAAGTGACATCAATGGGGCCAGTAAGTGGCATGGTGCTTGGTGCACTAGACTTCCACACGGCTAATGGTGGTTCGAGTCTCAGACCTGGCAGCTTGCTTTCTCACTTTTCTTCTCTCCTTCTCTCTCTGCCTCTCTCTGGTGAGTGTGTGTGCCTTACAGCAAATTAAAGAATAATACTGGGCTGTCAGGAAAGTCATGATGCATTTTTGCATAGAAAATCATGACTTTCCTGACAAGTGAATAATAATAATAAATAAAATTAAATAAATAATTCTTTTTTTAAAATGTGACATCAACCTGTAATCCTCTCAAGAAGGCTAGAGGCATAACTAGACATAAACCGAGGCCTACAGTTCACTTCTAGAAAACAGGGCATAACATGATGATCTAAAATCAGAGCCAATCTGCCTCCATTCTATCAACTCCATTAGGGAAATATTTTCTTTAAACTAGAAGGGGCACAGATGGTGTAATAATTATTCAAAGCTCCAAACGGTTTGTTTTAAATAGATTCAAACTTCCAGGTCAAGGGCAATAACATTTAGGATATTAAGTCTGCCGATATAGTAGAAATCAGATGAGAAACCAAAATGGAAATAGTCCAACCCAGACTCAATTTTCAAAAAGAAAGAAAACCATGAGGCTGGCAGGTGGTGGGGTGGTTAAGGGCGCTGGAATCCCACATGGCTGACCGCAGTTCGAGTCCCAGACCTGGCGGCTTGCTTTTGCACTTTCTCTCGCTCTATCTCTCTCTCTGTCCCTCTCTGGTCAAATTAAATAAATAAAGTTAAGGGACCAGCAGTTGGCCTAATGGCTATGTTGCTGGACTCCCATGTAGTCAGCCATGGTTCGAGTCCCAGACCCGGTGGCTTAAACTCATGCCAGGCATGTGTGCGTGCGTGTCCAAGATGCCAAGAGGAAAATGGAGGAGAAGGGACTGCAGCGTGGCCATACACCCTGGGAAGTGATTTCTTGCTTTCTGTCTCTCTCTCTTTGGTGAGCGCACATGACCTATAGCAAAAACTGCTTCAAAATAAATAAATAAATAAAAATAAAAGTTAAATAAAATAATTCTTTTTTAAAAAAGAGAGAGAGAGAGAAGGAAAACCACAAAGGGGCAAATTTGCTGCTGCTGTTCAGTAAAGTCCAAGAGCAAATCATTAGAGAGATGAATTCTGGGCACAGAAAATGACATGGTAATCACAAGAAGACAACATGGGTTTACCAAGAGTAATGATCCCAAACTAACCTCACTTCTCTTTTTAATTTGTTAATTAGTTAGAGAATTAGAAAGCAAAAACCATGGCATGGTCCCTGTCCTTGTTCTGTTAAACTTTTTAATGACTTCCCGAAAATACAAAAGACCTATTTTGTTTTTTTCTTTTAAGATATGAATTATCGGATTTTGACCACTGAAGACCCTCTGTCTAGACCTCACCCTCCTGCTCCCCAGTCTAGCCAGGAGCCAGGTTAGAACTCTGTACTTATTCTGTCTCTTTCCATCTTTCTCTATTTTATTATTTTTTTTAATTTTTAAACTTAGATCTCTGCCACTCTTTTGTCTTTCTAATTAATTCTTACCTTTCCCCCTTCCCCCATAAGAAGCAAATCAGTAACCATCTACATCTCAGCTAGCGTGCTGTGTGATTTTCCTTTTTTTGGAGAGGTTTTTGCTATAGGGCACGTGCGTTCTCCAGAAAGACAGAGAGAGACAGAGAGACAGAAAGTGAGAAATCACCCCCCAGGGGGGATGGCCATGCCGCAATCCCTTCTCCTCCATTCTCCTCTCAGGATCTTGGGCACGCACGCACACGTGCCCGGCATGAGTTTAAGCCACCGGGTCCGGGACTCAAACCGCGGTCAGCTACGTGGGAGTGGCAACACAGCCATTACGCTAACTGCTGGTCCCTGATTTTCATTTTTTGACAACAATAAAAAATGTTTTTCCTCTCTTTTTCTTATTGTTTTTAATCTTTTTTTACCCTTTTTTTTTTTTAACCTTTTTTTTGCTAAGACTCCATACACTGATTTTCTAGACAGGACTAGGTGCTTAGTAGCCAAGTACCTGAATAGTTTTAGGGTCAGATTAATCCTCAGTTTTCATTGAATCAGTTGGGTAAAGGGATAAAAATAGTACTGTGTACAGACTGTAGGTCATCTCCTTCTGCATTCCTCTGATTGCCCAGATTGAACTCCAAAAAATATGAAAAAATGTACAAACCATCAGTGACTAGAAACCACCACAAAGGCACAAGAAATATGAGAAACAAAGAAAATATCTCTCCTCTAATGGAAAAGAATAAATCCTCTTCCTCCATAAAGAATACAAAGGAACTCTGGAAATGTCAGATAAAGAATTTTAAATATTCACAGTGACAAAGCTAACAGAGATGCAAGAGAATAGAGACAATAAACTCCACAAGATGCAGGAGAAAAGACACTGAGTTCCAGGAGGTGAGGAAGTTCTTGCACGATCTGAAAGAGGAAATACGCATCATAAAAAAAGATCGAATGGAATTATTAGAGATGATGGCTGTAATGCAGGAAATCAAAACTTCCGCTGAAAGTATCAAAAGCAGATTAGACCATGCAGAAGATTGAATCTCAGATGTAGAAGGCAGAACCTCTGACTTAGAAAAGTTCACCAAAAAGACTGAGAAAATAACCCCCCAAAATGAGAATACCATACGAGTTATACTAGATACCATTAAACGCCCAAACATTCAGATCATTGGTACCCCCAAAGGTGAAAAAACTAGTAAGGGCATAGATAATATATTCCATGAAATCCTGGAAGAAAATGTTTAAACCTAGAGAGGCACTCAAATATCCAGACCCAAGAAATACAAAGGTTCCCACATAGATTCAACCCAAGAAGATATACCCCAAGGCACATCATAGCCAGACTGACCAAAACCACAGACAAAACCAAGATACTAAAATTGGAAAGAGAAACGTCAAGTTACTTTCAGGATATCCCATAAGGCTAACATTGGACTTCTCATAGGAAACAATGTAAGCAAGGAAAGAATGGAAAAATATATTCAAAGTGTTAAGTGAAAAACAGTTTCGACCAAGAATACTATACTCAGTAAGAATATCTTTCACGTGGGAAAAAAAGACAAAAACATTCTCATCTAAACAAAACCTGAAAGAATTTACCAACGCCATATCAGCTCTCCAAAAGGTACTGAAGGAAGTGCTATACCAGGAAAACTAAAGCTGGACATACAGAAATAAGAGTACAAGAAACAATCAAAATAATATCCAGCCTAGCGGAAGGGACAAGTCCAGAGTTGAATGTTAATGTCCAGAGTTTAAATGGAAAGATCGAACCACAGTAAAAATGCAAATTCAATAGAAGCGAGATTAATTACATGAGTCTAAACTAGTGAAATAGAATTTTTTGACTTTGGACTAAAACATTACTGACTTCCTTTGATGCTTTGATTTCCGTGTTTAAGGACTTTTGTCTTCTCTTGAATT